GAGGAGCGGTCTCTGAGCCCCGGAGGCGCCGCGCGGGGGAACCGGGGGGCGGCCTGGGGTGTCCCGCGCGGGGACCCAGGCTGCGCGCGCCCACAGCTGCCGGCCACCCAGAGCTCGAGGCCGGCCGGGTGAACGACACGGGCCCACACGACATCCTTTCCTCCTGTGCCACGGCTGGGCGCCAGTGTGAGGTCCCGCGCCGAGCGTGCGCGCGCACACCGCCGGGACAGCCAGGTGACAATCTCCAGCCGCATCTGTCGAGGAGCTGGCTCTGGAGTCCGCCCGAGGCCTGGACGTTCGGGGCCACTTGAGGCCGCGCCGGCCGCCCCCACCACTGCTTGGGCTTCTTTCTGGTTCTGCAGACCGAATTCATGGAGCCGAAGGCGCTTGGGAAGCGTCTACGGAACAAGCTGGAGGGAGAAAGGGGACGGGACCTCGGGTCACATTCAGGAGTAGCTGCCCGCGTGCTGAGAAACGGTCTCCTGTCCCCCGCTTCTCTCCCGCCACCAGCCCCTGCAGCGGGGCGACACTCTCAGCTCGACACCCGGCCCTCGGCCCGGACGCGGCTCTCGGTCCCGGAGCCTGCGGGGGGCGGGCGAGGCCTGCGGGGACCGGACCCTGCTAGGGACCGTTGGCTAAAAGCGGGAAACCGATGGTTTCGTGAACAGATCTCGGACTCGGCTAACAGGAGTTCCCGGGGCTGCAAGTGAACATTTGAAAGGACGGCATGTGGACGGAGACATCTCTTGTCCTCCGTCTTATCAAACTGCACATAACCAAACTCAGACGTGTGACGAACTTCCTGCACCCCAGAGTTTAACGGGATGTAAACAGCAGTCCAGGACAACCGTGTGGCCCCCGATCCTCTACGTCCGCGTAGAAAACATCTGCACAGCTCTGCATGAGCACGCGGGACACATGCATGTGCGACGGCGGATTTACAGCAGCGCAAACATTACATATGATCATTCAAAGTCTGCATTATGTGTTTCCTACATTGGGGTGACTGCTGGTCTGACTTATGGGTTAGGCACTTTGAATCCTGATTTTTAACACGTTTAAGCCCACAGGCTTTGTGTAGACTACCCGAACCGCCCAAAGCTTTAGTTTCATCACCTACGTTAAATGAGGGCCAGTAATTCACTCCTACCTAGGAGGTAGCCATGAGGATTAACGCGATCCTGTGCACAAAGCCTCCTCCAGGTCCGCTGCACTCACCAGCCCCCGCCGCCTGTCGTCAGCCCCGAGTGGCCTGCAGGGGAGCGTTAATGCGATTGCTTCGTTCCAGCCCCTGGGTGCTTTACCTGTTAACCGGCGCTAACAGTGGGCGTTGGAAGGGGCCCCAGACCTCGGCACTCCCGCTGCAGGACGGCTTTGAATCACCCTTTGACAGCACCTCTCCGCCGAGCCCCGGTTCCTGGTATTTATAGCACCATATTGATTTGCAAAGGCTATAAATCTAAGAGGAGGGACAGTGTGCCCCTATAATAATGTCGCAGCATATGTTTTACTGCCGCGGTTTCAACACCCGCAAGATGCATAGCCTAGGAATCCCCAAACGGCTCACCTCTCCTGCCTGCATTGGCTTGAAGTGGCCCCTTCAACGCCTCTGGTCTGTCGCCTGCCTCCTCCCGCTCTCTCACCTTTTCTTGCGTCCTACTTTACCTTCAGTAGGATGAACAGTCGGGGCTTCCTGCCCGCCAGAGACCCAGCACTGGGCTAAGGCTGCGTGGGCACTTTGGAAAGGAGGTGGAGACTGATTTGGGGCAATTCAGCTTTTGGCCTTGCATCATCGATTTTTCTGAAAATGTCTCTCTCACAAAAGTGTTCAAATTCCAGTCCGAGCCATTAAGATAAAAGACGGGGCTCTTCTGTGTCGAAATGCAATGGCAAGTGTTCTTTGAGTATAATTCCGCAGCAACTTTTTGAAAACTAAATCCAGCAAACAAGATCTGCAGCCGCCTGTTGAAGCATACACCAAGGTCCAGACAAATCATGACATCCCCTAGCACCTGCCCCTCGAAGAAAACCCACCTCTTGAGGGAAATCGTCCTTCCTGGACAAATCCTAATCATTGAGACAGGGAAGGAAGCCGTGGGTACCTGACGTTCAAAACAAGGAGATGTCATTGCTACAATGTTGTGTGTGCTGGGGGGGGAGGGGGTGTTGGGGGAGTTTGTGATAATAATGTAATGACTGAAGGGCTGGGTTGTTCAAAACCAGCAAAAGATTCAAAAATGGAAACTGATCCTCAGAGGCGTCGTGCGGCTCGGCCTCTGTTCCTAACCGCGGTCTGAGCGCGAAGCTTCTGCTTGCAGCGGCGCGAGCGCTGCCGTCCACCTCCCCTTGACAGCCCGGCCGCGCTCGCAGGGCCTGCAGTGTAAACTCTGCGCTCCCTTCTGCCTGTAGCAGGCAAGGGGGACGGGAGGGGACCGGAGGGGACAGGAGCCTCTCGGCCACGCTGGGCCAGGTTTTCCTCTCTCAAAAGCAAATGGAGATGGGCTAGTCAAAGGCGAAAACTCCTTCAGCACCAAAGGCAATGGTTTTAGGAATTTCCCAAAATATTTACACATAGAGACTTTGCACTTCAAGCAGCACTTTGTTAAAAGCTATTGACACATGATGATCGTGACTGGCTTAAATCATGACCCCTACCCCCCACAGTGTCATCATTTTGTTTACAATGGAAGAAAGTCAACAGCTATTTTGACTTTCGGTTTTCGCCCAAAACTTTATTTCAGGAGCCGGGTGGGGGGGGGGCGGGGGGAGATAGGATCTGTTTTTCCCCCTTTTCTTTCTTTTAAGGCCCACCAAGGGGCTCCTAATCGCCAGACCGACTGGCTGGAGAGGAGAGCAAATATTTACATCTGCAGCTTGACTGTGTGTGTCAGCCTGAGTTTACACGGCTCCGAGTGAAGCGGATTACCCTGCGAATTCGGAGAATTTGAGCTATTCGGGCAGAGCAAGGCCCACAGGACGCCCCCCACAAGGCCGTGGGAAGTCCTGGTTTGGGCCAAGTTTGCAACGGCGGAGGGTTCCGTGTCCCCCGTGCCCGAGGGCCTGTGAGGCGCGCACTGTCCCACTGCGTGTCGCGTGGCTCCCGCGGGGCTCTGCGCCCTGCCCTTGGCCGTCCTTTCGGCCACCGCCTCCCTTTGCAGAGTCCCCTCCGGAATAGGAGCCCCGGGCGAGAGGCGCCCCGGTGCGCAGCAGACGCCGCGGGCCGGAGAGTAGCGTCCTTTGCCGCTGTTCCCAGCTCTCCGTGACCTTGGCTTTTTCAGAACTGCGTCCCTCTAGCCCCCTTGGCAGGAAGATAGAATCTGGGGAAGCATCGGGGGGCGGGGACCCCAGCCCTGGCCGCTGCCCCATGCGTGGGACCTGGGGCTGCCGGCGCGGAGGTCTGGGGAGTCCCCGGCCCCGCTGCGACTGCGCTCGGGAACTCTGCGCTGTGTCGGGGCTTTGTCTGCCTGGGGGCAGCTGGACGGCAGGCCCCGTCCCCGGCCAGGACCGCGCGTCAGGGGCCATGGAGTTCACCGCGTCGCCCAAGCCCCAGCTCTCCTCCCGGGCCAACGCCTTCTCCATCGCCGCGCTCATGTCGAGCGGCGGCTCCAAGGAGAAGGAGGCGACGGACACCATTAAACCCCTGGGTAAGTCGGGCTGCCGGGCTGTCGGCGGGAGACAGGGGACGGGGCGCGCCGCATCCGTCTGTCCCGGCTCGTGCGTGGCAGCTCCTGACCCTGCGGCCTGGGGCCCTACGTCGCGGGTGGGAGGCTTGTTTCTTCTTGGCCCTTTATTTATTTATTTATCCACTTATTTTTGGAGGGGGCCTCGCAGGCTGTTGAACACCACGGGTATCGCGTCTCGTGCACGGACTAGTCGCGCTCTCCATTCGCGTAGAATCCTGAGATAGAGGCAGGCACGTGGGTGCGAGCGTGTGTGCAGACTTGTTGGGGTTGGAACATTCAGGCTACATGATAATAACCCCCCTTTTAAGACTCAAGGGGTTTACAGTCCCTGTAACACCTGCTTTTGCATTTGAAACCAAGGAGACACTAAGTGACTTAAGGAGAAACCAGTTTAATTCTGTTTTTCCTCTGGCTTGAATAGATTAAACAGAATCAGCTCTTTAAAACCACGGAAAAGTGCTGTAGATTAAGCCGGTTCTCACGGCATGAACCCTTCTCTTCACAAAAGCTCCGGAATTATCAGTAAGATATCTCTTTATAACTGCGTCATTTTCAGCTGAGGTTGGCAGAAACATTAACCAGTAGCCATTTCCCAAATTCTTCAACTTTTAGTTATGCTGATTATCTAACCTGGTTTATTTAACAACCTTTATCATTTACAGAAGATACATAAGGATTATGTTCTCTCCTTAGCTCTAGTGGGAAACTGCCTGAGATAAGTCCTTAAAAATCCATTTATAATTAAGGAGAGAAAGAAATGTTCTCATCACCACTTCTTAGGTCCCCAGGAAATAATTATTACACGTCTTGATCATCTGGTATCCCTAAAATACTGAAAATGATCAAATAGTAAAGTTAAGGTAATTTTTCTTTTTAATCCTCTCCAATTTTTCCTTTCTTCTCCCTAACCTTCCCAGCACTTTAACTTATCACATCTAAAATAATAATGTGAAAGAGGAAGTGTTAGAGATGAAAATAAAGAGCTTAGGCAGAGAGAAGACAGAACTAAAATCCCAGTAGCAACTTAGAACCAAGGAGAAGGAAACCGGAAGACTTCTAGAAAACAGAATGTCAAAAAGTCTCTCCTGCAAGGTTTTCAGCCCTTTTCTCTGCTGTTTCCTATCTACCTCCCATAACAAGCTAATGCTGCTCAGTAGCAACTTAGAACCAAGGAAAAGGAAACTGGAAGACTTCTAGAAAACAGAATGTCAAAAAGTCTCTCCTCCAAGGTTTTCAGCCCTTTTCTCTGCTGTTTCCTATCTACCTCCCATAACAAGCTAATGCTGCCAAAGAAATGGAAATAACCCATTGAACAAACCGTAACTGTTTAGAAAAACTATCAATTCCAAAGTTATATTTGTGGAACTTCCAATACTATCCATTCCTACATAGGGGATTTCTGAATTCTTTACAAACACTCCCAACTTGGTTTGGTACCTACTGGGAAAAGACGATTTCAGGTTAAAACTCCTGACAGAAGTGCAGACAGCGGACTGGGAGACATGCCAGCTCCAGCTGCACTGTCATTTCAACATTACTTCCTTCTCTGTTCTCCTGAGAAAAACCACCTTCTATCTAAATTCTAACCTAGAAAGTGTTCCCAGCTCACAACAGTCCTCCCGCCCCCCGTCCCTCACAGATAGTCTGTAAAATGAACATCCCACCCGTGGCTTTTGAGAAGGGCTCTGAAAAAATGAGCAGGCATGCTTGTCCCTTACACTGGCCAGGTCAACAGGGCACTATCAGTGACTGCAAGCCCAGGATTCCAGCAACGGAAACACCTAAAGGCTCCAGTGTGATACCTTTGTTAAAGTGGTACCTCTGTGTGGGGGTGGGGAGGCAGTGTGTCCCATGATTGTCCAATTAAACATATTAAGCCCGTTTAAAATAACTGCCTCAGACCACTAGAGCATTTCTATTTTTTTTTCTTTTCTTTTTTTTCTCTCCTCCGCTTCCCAACCCTGACTCACTGGTCAGTCCAGAGCTTAGGGAGTTTGCCTCTTTCGGTTGTCAGAAAATAAAAAACTTAAGTATTTCTGAAAATATTCCTAGAAAATAAGATTTTGCCATGGCCTGCTTCCCTTTCTTTGAATTTGAAAAAAATTAGGATGGCAATTAATTTGATTATTATGAATTTCAAACATTTTCATGAGTTGGGTTATCATTGTATGAGAAGAAACGGTAAACGTTTTCTATTTCCTTTTTATCCGCCATCAAGGATAAAAAATAAGGATGGGAAATAAAACGTTTATGATATATGCATGTCACATATGCCCATTACATCATAGACATGTACACACATACATTTAGAACTTGTTTTAATTCCTTGAGGGCACTTACAACACAGTTGTTTTGAGATCAGCTTTACATGGCAGACTCAAGTAGTTTCTTTTTTAAGGGGTGGAAGATAATTGGGACAATTACAAAAGTCCCCCTGTATTCCATCAAAGTGACTGGTGTAGTCCCAGGCCCTTATCAGCTGTGCAGGAGAATGTGGTCTTGGGCAGTGTGGATGGCAAAGCATTCTTCCCACTTTAAACCCTGCTAGCCTGGGAGTGAGGTGGTTTTTCTGACTTCCAGGACTCTTTTTGGAGAAAAAAAGTTACAAACATTACCCCTCAAGTAGTTGTTACAAGTGTGTTCTACAAAATGTCCCAGAGAGCCCGCTCCTGTCATGTAGCAGGCTATATGCTAGCATCTTTCATAAGATCCCAGGCTGGGAGCGAATTTACAAAAACGCCCTAACCTAACTCTGTCATCCTTAAACCTAGAAAACGGAGGGCCAGGCATAGAAGTGAAGTGACCACTTTTTTGTCTGTTTTTGTTTAACCACACCCCACTTTTCTTCCACCACCCTGTCTGTCCATCTTTCCTTTTCTCTTATGGCGAGAGGGCTCAGGAGTCCAGGGGAGGCTCTTTGCAAAGCCCGGAGGGTGACCTCTTCATTCCTTGGTCTCTCTGACTGTCAAAGAGGAAGGACTGACTGGCGGCAGGTCCAGGAGCTGCCCAGTGTGGAGTGCGGTGGGGATAACAGTAGGGGCACTTGCTTTTTATGCTTGTGATCAGCACGCTTCCCTCTCTCTGCTCCCCACATTTTTATTTTCCACGGTGGGTTTCCGTAATGGTGGTAACAAGCCACGGTCCTAGAGCTCACCCGTTGGGTTCAGGGAGCAGCGGGCACTGGGCTTGTCACTCCGTGGGACGGCTCACCCCTACCTTCCTGGAGCTCCTGAGCCTGACTTCTCCAGCTGCCTGTCCTGGCCATGCTGCTCTCCTGGAGTCGCGCCTTGCTGGACGGCGTCCGTCCGCTCTCACTGTCCATTCTCTCTGGCTCCAGAGCAATTCGTGGAGAAGTCGTCGTGCGCCCAGCCTCTGGGCGAGCTGAGCAGCCTGGAAGCTCACGTGGAGTTTGGTGGCAGCGGCGGCGGCAGCCCGTCTTCGTCCTCCCTGTGCACCGAGCCGCTCATCCCCACCACCCCCGTCATCCCCAGCGAGGAAATGGCCAAAATCGCCTGCAGCCTGGAAACGAAGGAGCTCTGGGACAAATTCCACGAGCTGGGCACCGAGATGATCATCACCAAGTCGGGCAGGTAGCTGGGGAGGGGACGGGGAGACGGCCTGGGTGGCTGGGGCGCTCCCCGGAGCGCTCCCCGGAGTGGGCCGTGGAGCAGGGGCGGCTTCGCCCAGGGACGGTCTTTCCACCCACGTGCCTTTGTTAAGAGCTGCGGGACCGACTGCTGGCCCTGGGAAGCCCTGTTGCGGCCTTGATGAAGGGCACAGGGACCGAGGGCGGCGCGGTCTCAGCTCCTGCAGCCGGGGAGGCTCCGGGGTGCGGGGTCGGGATGTGGAGGTGCCGCTGGGCGCTGCGAGGCCTCCATCTGTGGAAGCCGCCAGCTCCCGTTAGAGACTAAAATTGAAACTTGGGCAGGAGACGGAAACGCGAAACGCTGAGGCGCCCGTGGGGAGGAGCGCTGGCGCGGGGGACGCGGCGCCGCACGGGCTCGAGGGGTGCGGGGTGTGGGCGGCCGC